TGAAGAAGATGTTGAGAAATGTTCTCGGCAAGTCCTGTGTCTCTTATGAGGAAATGTTGACTATACTTTGTGATATCGAATCAGTAATCAACTCAAGACCCCTTACGTACCTTTCAGAAGATCCAAATGATCTTACGGCACTAACTCCTTCAATGTTTCTACAAGATGTGCACGACGTCGGAGTGCCTGACTTAGACTACCTGGATACCATTAATCTGACAAAAAGATACAAGTTCTTGCAGAACTTAAGAGAACATTTCCGCAAAAGATTTCGTGATGAATATTTAGCTATCCTAGTGCAAAAACCATCTAAACGATCTACTCGGACTATCAACAAAAATGACTTGGTGTTTGTCGGCAGCGACAACAAGAAGAGAATAGATTGGCCAATAGGTCGTGTTGTAGAACTATATCCTGGGAAAGACAACGAAGTACGTGTTGTCAAAGTGAAAACTGCAACGGGTGAACTCCTAAGACCTGTGAAACGTATTTATCCTCTCGAACTTGATAGACCTAACTTGTTTAGTGACTTCACCATGAACATAAAAAACTCTGCGGATAAGTGTTACAGTGATATGAACTATCAAACTAGATATGGACGTAAAACTGTAAAACCTCTTACATATTTTTAAATTGCTATACTAATTTTTGTTTCTTTTCAGTATTTTAGAAATTTAATTGTCCTAACAGTTGTCAATTGGAACATGTTATCTGGATATGGTATGAATGTAATGCAGAAAATGTTTAGATGTGTAATCCTTCTTTGTAAGTATTAATTTTAGAGCATTAGTTACTTTTCATATTTGTGAAAGTTGTACTTGAATTTTTGTTTGATTATTGATAAATTTTGTTTTGATTTTCCCATCTTATCGAGGTAAAATCAAAAGGTGGGAGGATGTCACATTCTTGCCACTAGGTGGCGGGCATCTCTTCCTTTACTTTTGCTGTAATTAAGTTCCGAGAAGCAGTCGAGATTGGAACCGCTCTGAGGAGCGTAAAGACTCAGAGTTAAAAATGTACTGTCTTAAAATAATTATCACTTACCTTGTAAATAGTGTATATTAGCGTTTTCTTTGAATAAATAATTAAAAGACAAGATGGCCTGCTAATTGTAATAGAAACTCTTACTGGAAAACGTGATTATTAGAAGCCTGGCGTCGAGAACACTGAAGATGCAGCAGGTAAGGAATTTTACATTAATTTTATTGTAAATAGAAGAACCTGATGCAACAACTCCAGTACAGCTCCGACAGTTCAAATGCGACTGAAACAAAAGTACGATCGGTAGGGTGTTACTCCTATTTCGCGTTGCCCTTCTCTATCTATCGTTTTTCAGCACTTGGAAGAAAAAAAATCATTTAATATTTTAAGAAGTGTTTAATTTAAATAAGTAAAAACTAATAAAATGAAAGATAAATTTTTACTATATAGCAAATAAAAAATTGCCGCCTCAAAAGGCTTGCGCCCTGGGGCTATAGCCCATTTAGCCCTGTGGTTAGGGCGGCACTGGATCCCGAAAATATTAAAAGTGATAACCAGGATTGAGAACGTCCAACGCTAGTGACGATTTCCACGAAAACAAACAAACAAACAAACAAACAAAAACTGAAAGCTTTCAGATTACCCCCAAAAGGATTATATTACTCCCAAAGGGACTTTTTATTTTAACGTTTTGTGTGTTACATTTATTTAGTAAATATCATGTTCTTCGCACTTAAACCATAAAATTCCATTCAACAAGAAAAACAAGATATTTAAAAACAAGAAATACAAAATACTTAAAAAGAGCATATCTTTAAAATCGTTGAGTTTGTTAATCAAAAATTTCTTATAGTTTTACAAAATATGAAATAGATTGCAGGGATAATAATAACAACAGAAATTGAATAAACAGATATTTATTTTAACTAACAAGTTAAAGTTTAATTTTAAAACTTTCCTGTAAACCGTCTTTCCCTTAATTGTTAGTGCCAGAATAGTTAAATTTTGTAGCGCGCATGAGGGAATGCAAATTTCTACTTTGAAGAAAGTATTTAAAAGCCGAGTTTCGTAGGGAAAAGGAAGAGTTGGGCTATAACTGCCACCTCTGCCGTAGATACGTTTGCTTATTGCTGGTTCAAGTGGCTTAATTGCATTTATTTGCTGCCACTAGTTTCGAAGGGGCTTTAAGTAGCGGGAGATCGCAGAGCCTGTAGGTTAGTTCTACCACTTGTTAATATCTTCAAATTTTATCGCCCAAGCCTTAAAACTTGATTTTCAGTTATCGCCCAAGCAGAGGCGAAGTTTGTTAGCATCAAATTGACGCACTGTAAATTTCAAAGATTTAATAAAGGGTATTTTAACCCTTCTCTTGTGTAGTTTCCTGCTACTCCAGTTTTCATAAAGAAGTTTATCTACTGGACTTAACAAGATAATAAAACAGATTCCAAATTTGGGCTTCCAGATGCACGTATTCGAGTGGAGGACTATGTTATTCAAAATTTTATTACCCTAGGTACCTTTGTTTTTCCACAGTGCGAGAAACATACATACATTCATGCAGATTCTTCATTATTTAATTTCCTTAAACATAATGCAGGGCTCTAATATTTGGTGGCAGGCTAAAAATAAAGGAGTAAGTTCTTAAAATCTGTAAAACAAGAGCAAAAAAAGTTTCGAATTGAAAACATATATATACGCCTGTATAATAGCGAAAGCTTAAAATGTGTTAAAAAATGACTTTAGATTTTTTATTTTATTTTATTTCGCATAATTTAATGTATGATTTGGTCGTCCCTGTGTTATAGAATCGCCAATAGAATTAATATTATTCTAAATTTCTGTAAGTGCTGTAAATAAGACCTGTAATAAGCAAATAAGTAAATAATTAAATAAGCAAATAATTAAGTAATAAGCAAATAATTCTGTTCTGTAAATAAGCAAATAAGGCTTATAAAAATAAATTATAACCATTATTTGCATTATAAGGATTATATTTGGGTATGCATATTTATAACATTCAAACATATCATGCTGCTCAATGTGCTTTTCGGTTGATAACGTATATAGCTTATCATTTTTCCTCATTTTTGAGTCCAATCACTTTTGCTTATTTTTTTAACGCTTATAACGTATAGACGCTCAAAAGTATCAAGTTGTGGAATGTTTGCTTGTCGGACGATAACGTATATATGGCTTATAACGTATATAACGTTCCTAACTTATTATGCGTCGAATCATTTTTGCAGTGCGTAAGCTCAGCAGTTTAAAAGAATATACATATACGCGTATATCAATAAACTTATTTAAAAATTTGAGCAAAAGTTAGGACTTTCAGTGTGAAAATCTAGCTCAAATGCAGCTGAAATTGAATAAATAAAATTTCTAAAAATCAATAATTATTCTGTTCTGGAAAGCGTAAACTGCATGTAAAAAGGACTATAGAAAATAGAATATTTAACTAATAGAAAATAATTTTAAAATATTTTATACAAAAGGTTTTTTTTTTTCAAATTTTATTCTCAAATTAAAGTTCAATAATTTTTATTTTGTGTCTTTTTAATTTTCATTTTAATTTCTCTTTCATTTGATAATTATTATATGATTCAGAAGTTTTGTAAATCTTCGAGTGTGACTTTAAAATCTAAATACTTTCAGAATTTTTAAAAATATTTTTTTTAAATTTTGACTGAACACGAGATTTTTAAGTTATTCTTGTTACGAACTTTGACAGTTTCAAATGTCGAATTTTTCATTATTCTTTCCCAGTAATAACAACAACAATAATAATAATAATAATAATAATAATAATAATAATTTTCAGATTTGGGAAAATGGAGAATCTCTCCACAAAAGAACGAATTAATTTATCAACAATTTTCTCAAAGAAACTTAAAGAAGAACGTTATTAAAAAAAAAGTCTCAAAGAAAGTTTTTAAAATCCTTTTTGAAATGAGATAAAAGAAAGTTATTTTCATCCTTCATACATACTCTTGAGCATACTAAAAGTCATCCTTTTCTATCCCGTAGAAGTGCAAGTTAACTACACTTCTAACAGTAATGCAAGTTAACTACAGTTGAAAGCAATCTTCATGCGATATTTTTCAAAGAAAACTGTCAATTTATTTCTTAAGAAAACTGTAATAAGATGCCATTGATGCCTGTTAAAAAATTATATAACATGATAAAATTTTAAATTATAAGCTTCCGAGATACGAAGAGGAGAAAAAGATAGAAATAATTGCACTTTTTGAAATGATACTGTCGAAAATATAATTTCGGTGAGTTGAGCTAAAGGAATTAATTAACTGTATTTAATCCACGCAGTTATGCTTTTACAGGAACGTGTAGAGCAGGGGCTTTCAAAAAGGGTGGGAATTTCATAGTTTCAGACTGGAATGTGATCAACCTTTTATTTATCTTTTAAGCATTTAGTTTTAGTTTATGAATATAAAAACAATTTTTAGTCAAGTTTATTATTTACTGATATTTTCTATACTTTTTCTTGTTTAATTTATAAAACACATTAAAAAACAAATTAAATTTAAATAAATGTATATGCATTTTTCGTGTTTTGGAATTGGGGCGGGGATGATTATCTAGCAAATGGTGAAAGGGGTGCACGGAGCAAAAAAAGTTAAGAACTCTTAAGAGTAATTAGATTTTTTATGAGTAGAAATCTTAAAAAAATTTAGCATCGACCTTTTCAACGACGGGAATCAAATCTAAGACCTGTCCTAACATATAGCGCAGTCCAGGGCGTCGTGCTAAAATATAAGTCCCAATTTAGTCAAATTTCTTCTATTCTTACTCTTCTTGTCATAAGCAAGAGCCTCAGAACGCTACCAAATCGCATGAGGAATGTTTTTAATTCCTTGTATTATGTCCAATGTTCGGGTACTGCCAAAAACTTCTAGAAAACATTTTGGCGACATTGTTTGGGATTTGGCGTGGTGTCGTATCTGGAAGCTTGGCCAGAGAATAGCAACCCTTAATAAAAATCGTGTACAAACCACTTCGCTTTCTTTTCACTCGCGGGCGAGGCAGATTGCAGGATCGTGATATACTAATTTACATTTTTTAATAAAATTTACAACAATGTCGATAAATATTAAAACTGTGCTTATTAGTGAATCTGTAGACCCCAGCTGCGCCAGGATTTTGTCAGAAAATGGTGTTAAAGTAACAACTAAAACTGGCTTAACTAAAGATCAGCTGAAAGAAGAGATCAAGGTTTATATCCAGTTTTAATTAATAGTATTACATTTAATTATTTTACTATGATTTAAGAAACAGGCAGGATATTATAGATGTGATTTTAAGAATTTTCTCGCAAGATCATGTTCTTCAATATGTGTCTTAATTTCCAGATTAGCTTTGCTTAAAAGTAATAGATTAACAAATGTGAGTAGTATATATCGAAATTTAAGAATGTAATATATATAAGTGAGGTTTTCATATTCTGTAACATCCATAACTTTAAGGAAAATTAATTTCGATTTTTAAGCAGATAAATTATCCCTGTTTTGCAAATTTTTCTGAATGTTTCGTGTTGGAGAAAGTTTTTACTCCATCACTGTTTTCTGTAGCTTAGCATTTTCCCCTTAAAATTTGTTGTTTTTACAAGCAGAACTGTAATAGCAAACTATCGAAGACTATTATAAGTTGTTAATATTAAAGAAAGACGCCATTATTATTATGTGCATTTGATTTAAATACTTATTTTTGACTAAATGTTGTGTGGCCCGTACATTTTCAAAGTTTATTTTTTTAAAAATCAAATGGCATCGGTTTTTACCTTTTGTAGTATGTATATTATTTCAAATAAAGTCAGATTTTTGATGCAAATTGTATCTATAAAGTTTTTCTAGATTCATTTAAATAATAAAGCTTAAAAATAATTTTAAAAATATTTTTTTGTAATTTTGAAATTACTATATTTTGTGGCGATTAAATTAAAATTTGTTATTTATTTGCTAATTATGCAATATTTTCAGCACTTAGCATGTATGCAATCCGAAGTTAATCTCTAAAAAGAAAAAACAAATTTTAAGAATTGCATAACTAATGTGCAAACCTTTTTACCTGGGTAATCACAATTCCATCTAAAAGTATTTTTATGAAAATTGAGTTCTTTTTAGTGATAACAAGTAACTAAATCAGTTATTTAAATTCTTATTACTAGTTGTAACTAGTGCTAATTATTTATCAGCTAGTGCCATAACTGGTAAATATGATTTTTGATTAAATGCTAAACAACCTTAATTTGAAAAACACTATCTTATTTAGTAATCATTCAACCTTGCTTGAACATTATAACTAAACATCAATCATTTTGTAGTTTTAAAAGTGTTAAGTAGATGAGAATATAGAATTTATAAGAATATTTTATCCATTTGACACAATTTTAAATGTTTCAATAATTGATTATTAATTGAATAATTCACATATTCTGATTTGAAAATTCAGTTTCCTGTCTAATATTGGCAAAAATAAAATATATTTTAGAGTTGTTTTTGTATTTTTTTTATTTAAGTAGTTCTATGTATTTGCAAATACTATCAAATTTCTATGATTTAGGTTATTAACTGAGAAATTATGAATTTATATATAAAAATAATGAATTATGGAAGCTTTAGTTTATTAAATTTCTTTAATTATGATTATCATCTCTGAATGAAATGCTTGTGTAATTTATTTTTTATCATTTTTTAAAAAACATATAAAAAGTAGTTTGAAAAATTATTTTACTAAAAATCTTAAATTTAATATTTTGTAGTTTGGCAGGAAAATGGAGGACTTTTCTGTTAATAACTGTGCAGATATGTGTCAGCCTGCATGTTAAAAAAGTGTGCAAGGTAAAGTAAGAATAGCCATTACAAAAAAATACAGCCTAATTGATGGCTAAGTGGTTAACATCACTAAATACTATTTGCCTGGGTTCTCAATTGCTTTGGTTCTAACCCAAGCAAACAAGCTAGCTGCATGGTTAGTTTTCATTGTTTTCCCCATGTGTAATGTGAATATGAGCCAGTTTCGTGTAGGAAATCCTCCACAAAGGTATCCTTCCCCTAAGACAACCATTGCTTGTTTTGTCATATTCAAGTAATGGTATAAAAAAATATTGTTAAAATTGTTAATAATCAAAGCTGTTAAAAGACAGTATTTCATGAATATTCACACTAACAGTTTCAACATTTAGTAAAACTGCCATATTTTCACTTTTTTTTTGCATATTTTAAAGTGTACATGTGATAATAGTCAAATCATACATGCACATACCATACGCATAATTGAAGATTTGATCTTGCTTGCTAAATCTATTTGACATAAGACCCAGCAAGCTAAAAAAAAAGAAAAAAAAAAAAAAAAAATCTTTCAAAGAAATTTTGAAGGCTGTAGCTTGCTGACTTTTTATAGGGATGTAGATAATTAGAAAATACCTGAAGGGGGACTTTAAAATTTTTTAGTGGATTCTAAAATCTATGATCATTTTCATTCTTTTAAAATAATTGCAAATAATTGTAGTGGGCTATTGATATAGTGTGTAGTCTGCCCTTTTTGCAACTGTATGCTGTGATCATTGAACTGTAAATCACCCAAAGAACTTTGTTAACCTTTGGATGATACTAATACAAATGACTGAATCATGCTGGATGATTCTTAGCTAAAGATTCTATATAAGATGGTAAGTATCACATGACAAGTATACACACGAGATTTTATTTATACAAAATATAAATAAATGCATTGTTTCTCACAGAAGCATAATGAAGATCCACTAATAAAAGTGATAGGTTGATCTTTACATTATGGTAACTTGGCGATTTTTTGGCGAAAATTTGGCAACCAACTCTTCTACAGCAACCCTCTATTTTTTTCCCCGCCGCCATTTTGTCTTCACGAAGTAAAGACATGTTTCTTTTCTTTTTATCTACTGAACACTTCTTCCAACAATCTACTAGCCGAATTACACTTATGCTAGAAATTTTATCAAACAAAACTGCTTAATCATGACAAATATTCACTGCAAAATTGGGAAAAAGTGCACAATACCATACTCCTTACGCGTTTTTTCAAAAATAACACATACACATAAACCATGTACACGCCGACTTATTTTTACTTAAAAAAACATCCCAGAATTGCACAAAAATGGCATTGCGCACACTCTTCACTATATCCATGTACACTGCTTTTTTCTCATAAATTAGAAAAATTTCACGAAAATACATGACAATTTTCTCAATCTTTAAACCCGGTAAAAAGAACATATATGAAATTACCTGATCGCGAAAAAGTATTTACCCTTTACAAATATGAACATTTCCACATATAAAATGAATAAAATATCCAAAAACTTTTACCTCTAAATCATCTATTACATTATACACGTCACCAACAAATTCATACTGCAAGCATTACGAATACTTAGTATCAAATATTTAAATTATTTCCATGCACGTTTATTTCAACTTAAATGTATACCAAATTCCTACAAACATAAAATTCACAAAATAACTATCATTTCATTAAAATATAATTAAATTCAAAAACACTACTTAAAATATAAATGAGCACATACATTAAATTAATAAAAATTACCTTACAATCCTAATTACTTTAAACTAAATCATTGCTAATAACAATTTTCCCAATAATACCAAATTCCTTTCCACCTTACATTTAGAACAATGCATAAAAATAATATCCTCAAATAATTAAAAATACTAACTTACCTAATCTTCTTCAGAATCTTGATTACGTGGCGGATACACTTTTCTAATTCATTCAATAAAATTATTGAAAGATTTTTTGTGCGAATTTTTCCTCCATACTTCCTCCGCTAAATAAAAAGCAAGCTTCTCTTTATCACAATGCCTAAATACCCATTTCGAATTCACTTTAGTTAGGGCCATGGGATCCAAAAATTAAACAACACTGTTTCACACAACACAGAATAAAGCTAAATACAAAATTTCCACATTTTTTCCCGATTTCCCCCCTTTTCCGATTAAAGAACCGTAATTCGTCCGTTAATATCACATGACATATCCCATGATCTCTCATTTCCCTCACGCAAAATAATGCGTAATCGGAACTGAGTACTGCTCACATTATTACCAAAGTCCCAGGTAGTAACCTTTATCGCCTCCAAAATGTCGCCAAACTACCAGTTACCATATTGTAAAGATCAAACAAGTGATAACTATTGTTTTAGCTATGCTGCACAGCATTCATAATGTACTACTGAATAACTCATAAATATGGACCTTTTGAAGGCCACTTCCACTTTTGTTTTGCAAAATTTGTAGCTGTTCAAGGTAAATGGAATTAAAAGTTTAATAGGGTACTAAATTAATTAATGGAATCATTTGCATTTATGCATTCTTAATTATTTGCATTTATTTTTATAAGAAATAAATAAACTAAAAGTGGTAGATCGTATATTGTATCAAAACTATTAGTTTTATCATTGAACTTAGAATTATCAACAATATCATAGAGCAGGCATCATAAAACCTTATTTTTTAATTATCTTATTAAAACATATTTTGTGTAGTAGTCAAATTTGTATATGCATTTTTATTTCAAGTGAATGTATATTCTTATGTATACCTTCTTTTTTAAAGCATTATGATGGCTTAATTGTACGCTCAGCAACAAAAGTAACAAGTGAAATTATCGAAGCAGGAAAACAATTGAAAATTATCGGTAGAGCTGGTGTTGGTGTGGACAACATAGATTGTGATGCTGCAACACGAAATGGAGTATTGGTTATCAAGTATACATTCATTTTCTGTATTATTCTGCATTTACTAATAAGGAAATAATTCTCAATGTTTCATAAATTAGTCTACATTGTGTGCTTTCGTATGTGTTTTAAATGTGTAATCCCATTTCTAAGTTGTTACAATGAATAATTAAAAAAATGTGACATAAAAATAATGAAATTTTACTTTTTAATGTATATTGTTTAATTTCATTGTTATAATCATGATACTTATGTTATAAAATTTAATATACAACTTTTCAAGAAAAGTAAAGCATTTGTTGTCTCCTGTGGAAAGATTCAAGCATTAGGGATATTCAAAATGATGTATTTTGTTTTTTTTTTTTTAAAAAAAAGATGATTTCTCTTATGTTTTATCCTTATAATTAGGAAACACACTAACAGATATTGATTATTACCAGTACGAAAATGGTTTTTAAGCAAAAGGTTTCTCTGCCACCCTTTACTGTGAGCTCTCCCAATTTTACATTGTATTACCTAGTAGATCACAGAATCTCCTGATTTTTAATTGGTAGCTTTTACTAAGGAAAATATTTCCCAGCAATGAATGAAATTTATTGAATTATAGAAATGTAAATTGTGGAAATTCTATTTCCCACCCTTAGTTTAGCGTAATTTTTATTATTATATTTTATTTCATGTGAGTTGTCTTAATCTACCGTAAATATTTATAGAACTTCCTGTGATAATTCAACCAATGTTTCAACAGTTTACGTTTGTATTAAATTTTATTTTACATCAATATATGGTACATTATTAAGTTTATCCACACAGTAGTTTGTACTACATTAATCATTAATTATATTTTCATCATATTTAAAAATATTTTGATAAATAATAACTTTTCTTCCTATTTAGGATTTTCAGCATAAAACAAAATCCAAACAATGTAAAATTTAGAATATCTAGTTAAATATTAATATATTTTATATTAGAATCATACTGTAAATACTTCAGTAACCTGAACCATGGATTATAAAGTGAAATTAAGTCTAGAGTTCTTCTGAAATGGTTTTGCTGTTCATTGCAAAAACAACCCAGAAATTCCTAGTCTTCTTATGAGAACCTTCCAAGTTATCATCTTTCAAGGTTAGCAGCTATACCTTTACTTTGTTGAAACATGATTACCCTTAAAAACTGCAGTAAGAAGCTTTTTTTGATTAAAAGTCATTGTTTTCTCAATTAAAAGATAAATCATAGAATTCTGTGAAGCATGGATATAAACTTACGTGTACTATAAAACGAAGTTCCCAATCATGACATTTTTAATTTACTTTTACAACTGTTATTAACTTCGAAAACAAATGTTCAAGTTCTGGGATATGACACGACTACAGTAATATCAGTAATATGTAGCTTAGTGTTGCCATGTTAAAAAATGACTCATGAGTCACTTTGTTGAAATGGCTGTATCACGGGTTGCAGAACCTAATCACCATAATGTTGAGCTAATAGTACATTAAGTAGACTAAGCAGCATGTACTATTATTATAACTTTGCACACCATTATGCCAAGAATATTACTCGTATGATGTTCTCTTATAAAGTTTTGTTGACATTGACAATGTGCCCTCTAGATAAATTTTCAGTCTTCTTTGCTTCTAAGACAAAAGACTCATCTCTGAAGAGAATTATCCTTCATTCCAGTCTCCATGGCTGCTTGTATATACATCACAGTAGCCTTTGAGAGGAATGGCTTTAGAATGAATCAAACACTTATTACTGGTCCTCTGGCTTATAATTCCATGTTGCTTGAGGACTTTCTGATGGTTTGTGCTTGTTCTGTTGGACCTCCTAAGCTTAATAAATGACATTGATGTTCACCTGGAGTAGAGTAATAACCTTTATACACCATTTTTCTTATCTGACTATATATTCAAGCAGAAGTTTAGCTTTCACCGCTACTTACCATCATCTGAGTTTCTCATTTTGATCTAATCACTCAGTTACACAATCTTGAACGGTACTGACAATTTGGCTTAAATATTGTTTTCTACGCTAATAAGCTGACATGCTGTCTGTCTCTAAGTTCAAATATTCTTTTATTTATTTTTGCAATAAAGAATTTTAAGTGACATGGTCTCAAACTCAAGGTATTGCCAGGGGTAAGTTAAGCCATTTAGGAGCCCCTGGTGGTAAAATTTGTGGGCCCCCTTGGAAAGTGTGCACTTACATGCTAGAAATGCAGTTCATGCTGAAGGGAACTAAATATACATAATTACTTATTAATATCAACATTTTATTAAAATTATGATTTAACATTTTTATTTTGAAATATTCTTATTTTATTTCCTCTGCATATCAATACTAAAATATATAAAAATAAAAATTATATCAAGAAGTTAAATATTTTATGAGAATAAAAGGTAAACATCAAACTGTTAAAACATTTTATGGAATGTCTGAAAATTGAAATAATTGATTATTAAATTAGATAACTGTCAAGTCACCAGATTTAATAAATATTTTCCTTGATTTCTTTCTAGCAAATTCGTAAAAGGTTAAATGATTTCTGCACTTGATAAAAAATGTGACATTTCTGTTGGAGCCTGTTATACTGGTATATCAGAAACAAATTTTAGCACTGTTGTTATCAGAACTGGATCCAGGAATGGATGTATGTGTTCATGTATGCATGCATATATGCAAGCATGAATGTATGTGTGTGTGTGTATACATATCTACATATATGCACATTCATACATACACACGTGCATATGTTCATACATTTCTGAATTTGGTCCTGATAAGAGAACAGTACCCAAATTTGTCTTCACTTTCTTTTAAAAACAATAGAAGCTCTTCTTCATCAAAATGCATAACATCTAAATAATTTTTATAGACTTCTTTTTTAAATTCAACAAATTTAAATTAAAAAGCATAATGAAGTCTGTGTAATATTTTTACATACAGGTAGTCCTCCTAAAACACAACATCCTGTAACACGCTTTCGCTATTACATTATTCATATATTGTGGCAACCTTCCTACAACACAGTTAAAATTCCATGAGAAGTTTTCCTTATTGATCAAAGCACCCACATAGTCATTTAACACATAAAAATCCTTGTTTACTAAGTCCTGCCAATTGTCTTCCAAGATTCGGTTCCCGTAATAAAAAAATGTCCTCGTGAGATGAGCCACATGGTGGAGAACGACTGTTGAATCCTTAACCAGTAACGGGGGAAAATCGTCTCCCTCCATGACTTTCAAAGTATAGCATAATAGAAATAATGCACAGTCTCAAGAAAGTACAGTCTCCAGATAACAATAAAGAAACTTCACTATCGCAGAAGATGAATGACATGAGGTCACAATAAGAGCTCCAAAACGCACAACCTACACGATCGGCTTTCAACATTTGAATCGTCATCTCCATGGCCTGAAAACGAAAGTGTCTCAGACTGCTAGTCAGCAGTCTATGTCAACCGACAATGTTTAAGTAACCTTTTTGTTTTTAAGACATTAACTTTCAGTCCCAAGCAATATCTGACAAAAATAAAAAAAACATCATTTAAAAGAGGTAATTTATTTCTTCAGAAGTAAAGGTACAAATCTTGGATCATTTTTTAAAGGAAGAAAAACATTTCATATTAGAAAAAGTCTTAATTTGAATGCAAAAACAGTCCAGACTATTAAGAAAAATGAAAAAGGAATAAGATGTGCAATTACTGCAGCATCTTTGACATCTACAAAACGTGCAACTCACTTTCAGGTACCAATGATTCGGAAGATGGAAAAAGCACTTAGCATTTGGACTGATGATTGCTGTCAAAATTCCATTGGATGGTGAAATCATTACACAAAAAACACTTCAAAGAACAGGGAGAATCTTCTGCCATCTCAGATTTTGTGGCAAGTAAAGTAGGTTCGAAAATTTCAAAAAGCATTTTGCAATTCATAGCTTAAGAATTCAAGTTAGCTGATGATGAAGCTGCTAGGAGGTCTCCAGAAAAATTTCAAAACATTATATAAAAACTATGATATGCAGCAGGTCAAGTTTTCAATGTTGATGAAACTGTGCTTTGGTGGAAAAAGTGCTTAGTACAACCTTTATATCGAAACAAGAAAAAACTGCACCCAGATTTAAGATGTCTAAAGATCACTTATGCTACTTTTGTGCAGTAATGTATAAGAGACTTTATAAAAAAAAAAAAAAAAAAAAAAAAAAAAGAGCTTTCTAGTTTATTTAAATCCTGATGTTGTAAATAAAAACACCTTACGGGTATATTGAAAGCAAATTCAAAAACTTGAGTAACTTATTTAAAGATTATTTTATTTAAAGATAGGTTTTTAAATTGTTTTGTGCCATACACTGAACATTATTTAAGGCATAAAATTTCAGCTTCAAGGCACTATTACTATTAGATAATGTTCCAGGTCACCCACAAAATTTGAATCATCACAACATCAAAATACTGTTCTTACCACCTAACATTACTTCGTTACTCCAACCATTAAATCAAGGTATTATTATATATATATCTTTATAACATGTGAGCATTACAGTGGGTTTTAGATGTAACCAATTCAAAATCAATGAATGTAATGGAAGCTTGGAAGAAATTTTCAATCAAGCACTGTATGGACATCATATCTTTGTCGCAGAAAGAACTGACAACATCCATGTTAAATGTATGCTGTAAAAAGATATGGCCCTCTTCAGTTAAAACAGAAAACATGCGTGAATCATCAGAAAATGAAATTGGTGACATTAGAAATTACTAAATCATCGGAGGTGACGTGATTGGAAGAAGTTGATGAAGCAGATTTGCTGCAAAAAGGCATCCGAAGCTGTAAATTAAGTCGAGTCTGAGGAAACTAGCACTGATGGAGATTGTTCAGTTAATAATTTAACATTAAAAAAAAAGGCACAAGCTTAGCTTAAAATCGGAGTCGTTTTTCTTGAATGCAGAAACCTTTTTTAAAGAGGGAAAAAGATGCCAGAACTTTAAAATTTTAAATGAAGAAAAAGTTTTGAAAGTGAAGGCAATATCCTTCCACTAAAAAAGAGTTCTTGGTTGAATATACTAAGCAGTGGTGATCATGAAGTTTATTAAATGACAGTTACATTAAATTAAAATATTTTTTTGCATTGTACATACATTTGTATTTTTAATAAAAATTAAGTTGTCTATGTATAATTAAAAAAATGCTTTAAACAAGTTTTCAGAACGTAACCTCCCCTTTTTGTACTAGCTCTGGGTCTCATACAACACGGTTCACACAACACGCCATTTTCTAGGAACCTGTCTACCGTGTTTTAGGAGGGTTGTATGTTTATATCAATACATTTCAACGTAACAGATAAATCTGTATGATAAAAAATAGCTTTCTCAAATGGGTACATGTGTAATGAGTAATTTAATTTTTAATTTTCATGGAAAAAATAATACTCTACTAATTGATCTTCTACTTCATATATATATATATACACCTGACATTTGTTATAAAATAGTTTTCTTGCTCTGTTAAATGTCCGATTCCATCAAAATATCCAAATTAATATTCTTATAATTGTAAACATTAACTCGTATATATCTTATGAATATAATATGTATATAGTATATACATATATATGTAAGGTATAACAAAATACGTTATACCTGCTA